ATAGTGTTCAAATCATCGAGAAAAAAGTTCCTGATAACCTTAAACATTAAAATTGAAATTATTGAGGTTCAACCAGTAACTCATGCTAAGCTATTAGGAGTCATAGATCAACATCTCCAATTCAAAGAACAATTCGATTAAAAAATGTTTTAACAACCGTTAAAAAAATGCTACTCTAGTATGGAATATTAGCAAAAGCATTTGTCAGGCTTCCGAGGAAACTTTTAAATATAGCGTATAAAGGGACTTATACGGAGTCAATTAGAATATGCCAGTATATTATACCTTGGTCAATTCAAAGCGCAACTAAAGAAGCTTTACGTAATACAAGAGCAGTGTGCCCGTTTCATCTGTCATAAACCTAGGAACACTCATTCGGCTCTCCTTTTGGACGAACTAAAGCTGTGCACCTTGGGGGAGAGAAGAAATGTTATGCAACAAGAGTAGTCAAATCGGCGTTGTCGGGTGTATGTCATCCATCGATGACTAACATGTTTAAATTCAACGGTGACTCAAACCTTATTGTTAAAAAAGCGGCATTATTCGATATTATAGATGAATTTCAATGTTTACATTTCCGTCGCATGCGCACTAGGTGGCAGGAATAAAAACCGATTTGCAAACATTGAGAACGTTTATTAAACAAACATTGATATAATTAATCTCCTTGCTAACTTAATTAGATTAAAGTTTTTTTTTAAATTCTTAAAATATAATGCCTGACAGTTGTTGTGCTATAGGGTGTATGAATAAAAGGATAAAAGGCGATAAAAACTTGAGTTTTTACCGCATTCCTTTTGGAAATACAGAAACATCAAAAAACAGAAGAGTTTTATGGTTGCAAGCCTTTAAACGTAAAAACTGGCCAATAAGTATGATTGATAACGCAAGATTATGTAGTAAACATTTTATTTCAGGTATTTAATTTTTTTTTTCTTTTGATAACTAGAAGTTTTTATAATATTATTATTATCTTTGTTTTTATTTAGTTTAACATAAGTTCATTATTTTAATAAAATAAATAAGGTTTTAATTTTTTTTCTTCTCTATTTTTAGGCAAAAAATCAGACAATCCTATTAGTCCTGACTATGTTCCATCTGTTTTTTTATACAGACAGCAATCTTTTTCAAAAAAACATCAAAGTATTGAAAGATTTGAAAGAAGTTGTAAAAGAACAAAAAAAAATACTGAAGATAATTTATCTCAAACAAAAGCTGAAAATGAACAGATGTCAGTTAATATGGATGCAGTAACATCAGTCGACCCTTTCAAATTAAATCAAGGTAAATAAGTTTTAATTTAATTTTAAGATTTTACTTTCGTTCTTTGATAAAATAAATGGTTACATAATTATGTTTTTAGAATCTCAGACTGATGATGTTAATTTTGTTGCTGAGCTACATTCTAAAGTCAAAACTTTGAGTAAAAATAATGTTGAATTAAAGATTACAATAAACAAAGCTATAACATCATCTGTTTCTCAATATATTTCGTTTGAAAAACTAAAAGATGATAATTCACTTTTATCTTTTTATACTGGTTTGCCAAATGCAAATTTATTTTTGTGGTATTTATCATTGTTTAAAGATTGTGTAAAACCAATGAAAAATATACCAATGGAAGACCATTTATCGCTAATATTAATGAAAATCAAACTTGGATTTTTAAATAAAGACTTGAGCTTTAGATTTGGTTTTTCTGAGCCAACAGTCACTAGAATATATAGATCTTGGCTTCCAATTATTGCTGAAAATGTTAAGTTTTTAATTGTTTGGCCAGAAAAGCATGTTTTGCGAAGAAATTTGCCAACAAGTTTTCGCAAAAAGTTCTATAATTGTGTTGCAATAATTGATTGCATGGAAATACTCATTGAAAGACCTTTTAGTCTTCATGCTCGAGCTCAAACTTGGTCAAATTATAAAAACAACAACACAATTAAATATCTCATTGGTATAACTCCATCAGGTGCTGTAAGTTTTTTATCCCGTGGATGGGGTGGTAGAGTTTCAGATAAAGAAATTACAATTAAATCTGGATTTTTAGAAAAAATAACCCATGGAGATTATGTACTTGCTGATAGAGGATTTACACTTGTTGAAGAATTTGCTACAAAAGGTGGGATTTTAAAATTACCAAAGTTTACCAAAGGAAAAAAGCAGATGTCTTCTGCTGAAGTTGATGAATCACGTCAAATTGCACATGTAAGAATCCATGTTGAAAGGGTAATTGGACAGTTAAGAAAATTTCGAATTCTTCAGAACATTATCCCATTAACTCAAGTTGATTTACTTGATGATGTTATGGTAACAATAACTTCATTAGTAAATATTAACAGTAGTGTTGTTCCTCTAAGCTCATAGGAGTAAAAAACCTTTTTATTTTAACTTTATTTTGTATTATCTTACATTTGGATTGTCTCAAGTACTCTCGAGTCCTTAATACAAGGGGAAGGGGGTGGTTTGTCAAGATCTAATGAAAGTAGGGGGTGAGAATTTATACTAAAAGTTTTATTATTTATTAGTTACTAGTATATATTTTGTATAATATTATAAGGCCGATTTTCACTGAATTATTTTTTTTAGTTTCGATAGTTTTAGAAACTTTTTGTTGATAACAAGTGAAAATTAATAAACAGAGTGGTCTTAATAAGCTTAAGGTAAAGTTTTCAAAAATTTAATAGAAATCCCCCCTACCCTTCTAATAAAGACTCGAGAGTAGTAAATTTTATATTACTAAATAATTGTTAACAGTTTATTGATTTTTTATTTCTGAAAAAAGTGCCAAAATGTCGTTGACAAAGTTAGATATTTAATAAATATAATATATCCTTTAGTTTATTTATATGCATTCCTTGCAGAACCATTTACCTTTAGGGCCATTTTTTATTTCAATACAACTGTAATGAAACCATCCTATTTTGCAGTTTTTTCCGTCGCATCCAATCATTGGTGTAAAACTTGGACGTTTGCAAATGCAGTATGTTTGATCGCTCAAAAGGTTGTTAGGATCATTTTTTCTAGACACTGTTTCAGGTAGTAAAAATTTAAAAAATATTGTTGTCAACTTTGTTTCCAGTTTTTCACAAAAGACCCTATCAATCGGAACATTAATTAACATTGTATCATTTTCATTTTTTCCTTCGGTCCAAATGTAAAAATGGCAGTATGTAGTATTAGTAATATATATTTCTTGCTGCACTTGAAAGTAATACTGGTGTGTTTTCTTTACTGTATTGTCAAAATTTACAGGAAAATCCGTATCTGTTTTCCAATTTTCTAACCCATTTCTATACTTATATGGGCACTTAATTTCCACTACACCGGAACCATGACAATCACAACACACCATACTATCAGGTGAAGCACCAAGACATGGCTTTTTGTGAAGAACATGCAATCCAGTTTCTGTAACAACTATATTTGTATGTGTTTTTGCGACAAATTGCTTGTAAGAATTTATTGCTACAGTCTCCATTTTCTTACCATAACTCGTAGGTTTTGTAATGAATTCTGCGTTGTATTGCATCACTGTGTTTATAAACGACTTAGGGTATTTATCAACTTTTATGTTGTACGCAGTTTTTGATAACGATGCTGTTATTCTACCTGCCCTGTGCAACTTCCAGATTCTACTAGCGCTTTGAATATTTGTAACTTTAAGTAAATTGCTGTACATGTTAACACTTTGAGTGATTTTGTACTCCTCGTATGATTCTGCGCAATATTTTGTTAAGGTGGAATCATCTAAATTAATTGATGCAGGCAAATATAGTGAAGTAAGTGGTTCCGGCAAATTATATTCATTGTAACTGTCATCCTCCTCCGCAGTATCGGTATCACTACAATGTTCTTTGCTTTCATTTTTAATGTCTACAGACTGAAGAAAAGCATTCTTATAAAATTTTTTTAGTTCTAGCAACTTTTTTTTTTTACTATCTGAAGTTGGTGTAGGATCCTTAAAGCTGTAAGGTCTTTCATCCTGTGAGTTTTCATTGTCACTAATATTTGGAAGAGTTTCACGCTTCTTTGGTCGCGGAAAGTTTATTTTTTTTAGTGGGGCTGGGGTTGCTGATTTGCGTGATTTTTTCCAACTGCAGAATGTGCTTGTGCAAGATATTTTATTTAAACCGAGCTGTGCACACGCAACAAGCTTAAACAACAAAGCACCGATGTGACTACACACAGAGCCCAATCTATAGTTTCAAAAATGTATAACCAATTAAATTTCTTAAAATACTTGTTTAAAATAAAATTAAAATTAAATTATTTAATTAATGTACATACCCTGCCATGCATTTGCAATTTGCCGTTAAAATCAACCCATTAACTTTATTTATTGCAACCCACACTTCGTAACATTTCTGCTTCTTTCCTTGTCTTTGACTTGGAAGCACCTTTAATAAATTAAAAGTTGAATAAATAAGTAAAAACGTATATCATTTTACATTTTACTCAAAATAAATTTTATGGTTTTAACTTTTCAAACACTTTTTTTTTGCACTTTGACTGTGAACTTTACTTTGTAATATGCAAAATTACCTCAGATTTAATGAAACAAAATTCATTCGTTTCTTCAATTAAATTATAGTATACATCTTAAACATGCCCACAAATGTAAAAGTTGTACGATTCCAATGATTTATAGGCTTTCATTGAATCGTGTGTAAAGTTACTTGGGGAGTTAATAAGGTAATTGTACATGTCACCCCATGTAATGTCGGGCATCATTGAAACGTCGTTTTTCCAATTTTCAAGTACGAAAGGGTCAGGGAGTAACATTCCATTTGACAAAGTTAATTTTTTTTATATGCATCTTTATTGTTTTCTTCTAATGTTAAAAAGTAATCAGATTCACTCCACATTTTCTTTTGCGTGTTTTCTTTCTATCCTGCCAGTGTCCTTTGCGTCCGAAAAAATGTAAACGCGCGACGTCACTTTGAAATTCATCTATAGGAGTTAATATATTTAATAGAGTTGTCCCTTAATATATCTATCGCGTTATGCCATTGGCATATACTACTCAAGCAGTGGAAGAGGAACCGGAAATAAAAGAACAAAAAAAAAAAAAAAAAAAAAAAAAGTTTACTGATTTTAGTATATAAATTATAAAGTTATTGTAATTATAAAGGCAAAGTTGTTTAACTGTAATTGGGTTTAAATAATAATAAATAATAATAAATAATAATAATAATGATAATTATTATCATAATAATAATAATAGTAATAATCTGTTTTGGAAACCTGAAGCCTCAGAATACTTAAATTGGAGCCACTTAAAGTATAACATTTTATCTTTAGTAGCAGAGTAAAAATATTTTTTTGTTGTGTAGTGTAATTAGTATTGTAGTTACATAAAATAATAAACGGTTGACTTTCTCAGTATCTTAAATATTAATTATAGTTAAAATATATTGTGTAAAAAGTTACCTATCCAAAGTTTATATTTGCACAACATATACTATTATTATTAGTATTGCACAAATGTATAAACAATTTATTAGTAATATATTGTGTAAAAAGTTTGAATGTTGATTTCTTTAATTAGAAATTATAAAGCAAAAAAATGTAAACCAATCTATCCAAATTTTTAGTAAACTTCTTGGTTTTCAAAAACAATCATTTTCAATATCATATCTTTATATTTTTAGTATGGCGGAAAATAATAAAGGAAGAATGCTTCTTAAAGTTAAAAAAAAGAAAAACCAACTTGTTAAGAAAAATAATAGTTTAGATGTTAACAAAGAACAAGAAATACTTCGAGATCGAGGTAAAAAAAGATTAAATCCTTTTTTAAGTTGTGGTCCTTCAAAAAAACCTGATACTTCAGATGCAGAAGAAAAATATAAAGATAGTTCTTTTTTGACTCACTTAAGTTCTAAGGATAAGGCAACATTTATACAAAAAAGAACTTGTTTAAATTTAATGCCAGAAAGTGACATAAAACATAAAAAATCAGATGCAATTGATACAAATGCTAATGAAACAGTTCAAGTTAGTTTAAAATCAAATTATGAGTTTAAGAACTTTCCATTAGACTGGAGCATAAAAAATCAAGTTCGATTTCTTTCCTTCAAACCATTTCCTCATTCTATGAATCTAAAACCTGTTGACCAATGTGCTGGAATTATTTCCTTCACACGATGTGAAGATGAGAATAATAGTAAACTTTTTAAACAACTTTCTTCATGGGTTTATCCGAATATACCTGGTTTGCCTTTGTATCCTTTAAAGAAATCTATTTCAGGAAATTTAAAAAATACATCTGAATTAAATCTTCTTTCAAGTAATACTTTGTTTCAAACATTAGTTATGAAGGGTTGGCAAAACAGCTTTCAGTCATTGTATAATATGTTAAAAACAGGTTATTGTCCTTTTTTTTATGTTTGCAGTCATCAGTATACAGTTCTGTTCACAGCTACTGGAATCTCTACAAATCAATTATCAGCTGTTATTACCCCTACAACAAAAGGATTTCGCTCAATGTTAAAACAAGAAGGTTTGTTGAGTTGTTATGATTATAGTTACTGAAAATAATTATATTGTCAAATTATTAAATATAATTTTAATAAATGTTTTTACAGTACTTATAAATAATCATATGATTAAAATTTAAAAAAATGACATTCATTTCTAAAAAACATCTAAATCAAATCTAAAAGGTTACTCACAATTCTAAATGAATTCTACTCATGTATTGCATATTTTTATTAAGTTTAAAATGAGTTAGAGGAGAAAAAATTAGGTAAAGCGTGCAAATAAAGTAAGTGTAAAAGTAGAAAAACAACTTAAAAAAGTACTCATCAACTTTTATTTAGAACTAAGTATTAATTTTAGTACATTAATATAAGAAGATAAAATATTTCATAGAAATTCATTTGTTCCTGTGAATATCTAATAAAATTTCAAATTTTTATTAAGATGGTACACACAAGTATGTAAACAGAACAACAATCAAAACTATTTGATGACACTCTTAAGTCTTTAACATTTCTGCATAGTTTTTTTTTTAATTTTATTTTTTTGTTTAATAATTACCTTGGGAATTTGGTGGATTTTCAATTTTAGACTCAATTTTAACGTCATTTTGTTTATACCATCCTATAGCTAGTTTGCTGTAATGACTTGATAATAAATCAGGCCAGAACACATGTCTACTTTGCTTCTTGCTAAATTACTTCTAAGTGATTTAGTAAGAGGTAAAAGATGTTTTTGTAAACACTCTTTAGCATATATTTTACCATAAGGTGAGGACTCAGAAATATAGGGTGCTGATTTTTTGTCATACCTGCAAATAGCTTGCCAAATCAAGGCTTTTTTTAGCAATCTTATCATGTTTTGTGTATTTAAATTTCTTAAATGCTTGTCTTCTATATTTGGCATTAAAATAGACAGCACCAGGAATTTGCTGATAATTGTTCTTCATATAAGTTTCATCATCTTCAATAATTTAGAAATTTTTAGAAATATAATTGTCTTGCCACCTTCTTTAACAGTTTCTTATACTTTTTTTTTTTAATTTCAGAACAGTTAGGCACTTTTTGTGATTTGAAAGCTTGAAAAACATGTTAGTTTTGAACTTTTACAACAAAACTATGAGAAAGTCTTAATGTTTTTGCACGTTGCCATAGTGAAAAATGTTTTTGCACGTTGCCATAGTGAAAGGTAGGAGAGATCAGATTAAAAATCGGCTGCTTGTTCTAAGTAATCAAAAGGTGAGATGAAATAAAAGTTTTCATATTTATATAAACTTTAGTATTTATATGGTGTAGTATTTGCCAAAAAGATGGATGTGTGGTGTAACTCTAGCAAGACAAAAAAAGGCGTAAACTTAGACAGATTAGAAAAAAACATTGCATCAAAGAATGTTTGTTAGAAAAGATTAAAGTGATTTAGGTATTAGCATGTAGAGAGATAGCAGCTTCAGGAGAAAATGGTAGTGGTAGAAGTAAGAAAACTTGAAGAGAGTGCCTTACATATTGTATGAATGAGCTTTGTGAAGAAAAGAAAATGCTCTAGTTTGTATTAGAGAAACAGTATAAAAGAGGAAGGCTAAACCCTGATGATGATGATGATGATGATGATGATGATGATGATGATGATGATGATGATGATGATGATGATGATGATGATGATGATGATGATGATGATGATGATGATGATGATGATGATGATGATGATGATAATTCTGATTATTGTGTTGATCATAATGTTTATATATGCATATATATACAAAATATAACATAAATTTTGAATTTAAAAAATATACTTTAGGATGTATAAATGTTTATGCAGCCCCTGTCACAAATCCAACCCCAGCTATACTTTATCAAACCCGGCCCCAGTCAAATATCAACCCTGTTCGCTTATTAGTGAGAGGTTTGGGATCATAAAAACAATTTTCTGACCAGTTTTATATTTTGAAAAAATTACTTACTTGCATTACCAGGTTTGCATTTAATCGATTTTGTATACGAAAAGCAATAAATAACATGATTTACAGTGTATGGATGTATTTGAAAATGTTTTGGTATTGAATTGTAGCTTCTATTACAAAAATATTTGTGCAAAATATTTTTACTAACATCTTCTTTTGTCATTTTTAAAACTTATCTCAAGTTAAACGGGACTAAAACATTTTTTTGAGATCATAACTTGTTGCCAACAAAATACAAACATAATTAAAAAGATATTAATACAGCCACTTGAAAAAAAATGATCTGTTTACTCTTTCACATTTATTTCCTGTACTTTGATAACTTTAAAATAAAAATGCTTTATTAAAAGTTTTTATATTCTTTATTAAAAATATTTATTTCTTGCAGAGCATAAAGCTTTTTTTATATTAACTAAATAACCCTAATTTTTACCAAAATGGATTTAGAAGAAATAAGGACTTAAGTTTGTTTTAAATAAAACAAACAAAAAAAAAACTAATATAAACTATCTTTATCATCACCAAAGTAGTTATCATCATTCCACAATGCCATTGTTTCTGTCTTTTAATTTCATAGAATTTTATAATTTCATTTTTAGTATTATTCTAGATGATTAATAGTGACAATAGATAGTTAAAATTATTCCAAAAATAAATGTAGTTTATTTAAATGTTATTTAAAACTGATAATAATTCTTTTCTAAGTCCAGGCCAAAAAAATAATTTAAGATTAAGAAAAAATAAATTAAATTTTTTTAAATAAAATTATTTCCATGTAAAACGCAACCAGTTATACAATCCATATCCTTTTAAAATAATAGAACATCATTTTTTCAAAAATATCAGCATTTCTTCACGAAAAAAACAATATTAAGCGTAAATATATATATATATATATATATATATATATATATATATATATATATATATATATATATATATATTTATATATATATATATATAAGTATATATGTGTATATATATACATATATATACATATATATATTTATATATATATATATTATATATATATACATATATATATATATATAAGTATATATGTGTATATATATATACATATATATACATATATATATTTATATATATATATATATATATATATATATATATATATATATATATATATATATATATACATATATATATATATATATATATATATATATATATATATATATATATATATATATATATATATATATATATATATATATATATATATATATATATATATATAGGGTATTTCAAACTCAAATTCTCAGTTTAAAGGTTTGAGTTTGAAACCGTTACTGAAGCCCCCACTTATATCTATTTCAGTATTCATTAGTAAGATTGCGTGCAAATCAAAGTATTAAAAATGTATACATAAACATTGTTTTAGGAATTTCTTTTGAGTTTACAGTGGAAAACACTACTGATGAATTGCTTGCACAAAAAGATCCTGATGTTAATCTAGATAATAGTCAAGACTTTGAAAATTCAGGTAATATAGAGTTTCTAGACAGCATAGGTTTAACACCTCATGCACATTTTCCTAAAATTCAAGAGCAACAAAGGCTAAATGATCGAGTAAAATTGAGACTTTTGGACAATCGTATAGAATCTACAATACGAGTAACAGACTGCAACTCTTTGTTTAATTTTCTTTTAAATTCAACTTTTCTTTGTGCTCCTTCTGGTGCTATGGCTGGTGTTCCTCCAACTTTGATATCGCCTTCACCTTTCGAAGGAGGTTCTTTATCATTATGTAAATGTGTGTATAGGCCTCTCCAGCAACAAGTTGATCAGAAAACTCAATCTGTAAGCAATCGTTTTAAAATATAAAATATAGATTAATATTTTTATTTTGAAATAAAATGCTATTATAATATATATTTTGTTTATCAGTAATTTTTTCATATCTTATATTGCTTGTTGTTTTTTAGATTTTTTGTTTGGATGTTTCTGGTTTTATTTTACCTACACAGTTAAAAGGGCTTGTTAGTTTTTTAATAAACCAAAGTGATCAAACTTGTGCTATTCAATTAAAGTCTTCCAATAGATTGTCCGGCTTGAACTCTTATAAGCATATTAAATCAAATGATATATCAAATGAAAGTTTAAAAATGATGGGTTTATCTCCCTCATTACATTCTTATCTTAACCAGCAGCCTATATATTTACCGAACTTTTGTGATATAAAATATGAAGAAAACTGTTTTAAGTTCTAATAATATTTGAAAAAACCAAAAAAAATTTTATTAATTTTGTTTTTAGTTCATTATTATAAATAATTATAATTATTTCATTCATTCTTTTTTTTTAGTGAAAGTAAGGATACTTTTAAAAAAAGTTTAAAATATGGATGTTAAAAATTCAAGTAACATTTAAAAAAAGTCAAACTTGCTAACAGATGTTAAGAAACAAGTTTTTTTTTTTTATATATATAAATCGTTTTTTTTTTTTAAACTTGGATTTTTGTTTAAAACTAACTTAATAAAATGAAACTAATGTGTAAACTTATTTATAATTTTAACTTCTTCCTTTTTTACTAATTATTTTTTTATATTTTTACTAATTGAATTTGTTAATTTATAAATAATGCGTTAGCTGGGTTCACGTAAAACTCAGCGTACTAACGTATTACGAGTTTTGTGAGCAGTTAGCTAACACTATTAGAGTGTTGTGTAAAAGTTTAAGGTTAAGTGTTATATAAAAGTAAAATAATTTTAAAATTTACAAATACAATTCTAATTTTGTTAATATAATTTTACAAATATTTTTCTGCAGCAAATTCCATTTGCAGCACGCAAAACTCAGCGCCCAGATTTTAACGTGTAGCTAGTAACGCAACATTTATAAATAACAAAGAATGATATGTAATGATTTTTTTTCTCAAAACTTATTGATGCTTTTCCTGAAAAAAAATGATGGTTTTCTTGAAAAAAAAACGTCGATTTTCCTAACACAACAGTTGTTTTGTTGCATTGCTGGTAGCCAAACATGAGCATTTTTCTTTAGTTATATACTTTTTTATCATGTAAAAATATAAATTTAAATTATTTTATTTGAAATATTAAAAAATCTGTTGAAATTTTACTTTTTTTTACTATTTAACATATGTATGTTACATTTTATTAAGAATAAATTCTCTAGAGGAGGTTAAGTTAAACAAATTCTTAAACGTATTCTTTGATATCTCTATTAATGTATAGCTACCCTCCATTTATAAGTGTTTTTGGCAGATTTTTTTATTTCGTATATCTAAAACTTTTGTTGATAATTTTTTGAGTAAATTTAATATTTCTTCTTGTTTTCTGCGGATCCATATCTATTATTTTATGTATGTATTTTTGTGAGACACAACATCTAAAATTTTTGGGGGCCCCTAAATTTGCGGGGCCCGGGGCTATAGTCCCCCCTAGCCCCCTTGATCCAGCATTGATATATATATATATATATATATATATATATATATATATATATATATATATATATATATATATATATATATATATATATATATATATATATATATATATAGGCCTCGGCGGGAAGCGAGAGCTTTAGCTCTCGCCCACACTTCCCTAAAACGGTTTACGGGAGCAATTTATGGCTCTCGCAAAAGTATAACTTTCTCACGAAAGTATAATTATCGTTGAAACTAAAATAAAAAACACAGTGTCATTTAAAAAAAAAATTAATTGCATAATATACTGGAATGCTTTTAAAAAAGCACGGTTGTTGCGAAAAAAAAATTAAAATTAAAAAAGAGAGCCGATTTAAGGTGGCTTTATGGTTAAAAAAATAACTTCTGGATTTTAATGATAAATGTTTCCAAATAACTTTAAAAGAAAAGAATAATTTTTTAACAACAAATACACTTTAAAAAATTATAAAAAACTTTTTGTTTTGCTGAGTCAGATAAAAATAAGTAAAATATAAACACTTTAAAAACTTTATAATTCCTAAAATATAAATCTAATGAACTTAAAAATTTCAGAATATCTTTATGATTTCAACACAAAGAGACTGTAGCAGAATTTTTTTATAAAAATTTGTATACCAAAAATGGCAGATAAAAGCAATGGAAGCAAAATAAAAGTCAATTTTAAACAAAAGATAATTATTCTAAACTTGAAATAATATCATCAGTTTCGCAACAGCTCCTCAAGTAACTGTTAAGGAGCAATCTCAGAAAATTTCAAGTTGATTGCTTTAATACTTTTTAAATTTTTACTTGTATTAACTTAGAATAAAAATACTTTTTTACAAATTGAAAAAAAACTCCTCCACCAGTGCAGATGAAAATTTGGTCCCAGCTGTCTAAAAATGCAAAAAATTTAAGTTTTTGCATAGTAGGGGCAGGGTCATTTAACAAAATTTCAAAAATACTGTGAGAGTTATTTTTGTAGCTTGATCTATCTATTTTTAGATTATGTTTTGTTTTTTAGTAAAAATGATGGTAAGAGTTGATCTTAACCATTTGCAATCATGAGTGTTTTAGAAGTTGGGGGGGGGGGCTTTTTTATTAATAATATGTACATTAAATATAAAGCATTTTTGAAATTGTACATTTTTTATTTAAATAAAGACTATTTTTTAGTTTTTATGCAAGATTTTTTACCAGTTGTTTTAAATTTTAAACAAATATAAGCTACAACCATTAAGTTTGCTTCTCCGTCTACTTTAGTTTCTAAAAGTTCCAATGAGGTCTTGACTAGAGCTAGAAGCATGTTCTGCACTGCAATGTAGAACAAAAAGTGACAAATTTTTTTTAAAATCTTTTATAACCTGGAAATAAGTATAATAATTTATAGCGATACACATAGCACATAGTTGCAATAAGTTTCATTTTCAATAGTAATAGTAATATATCTAAATAAGTCTTTATAGATAAAATGATAAATAAATTAAAAAAAACAATCAAATAAACAGATTAAAAAACAAAAAGCATTTTTATTATTATTATTATTATTTTTATTTTTTATTTTTTTATTAATTTTTTTTTTTGCTTTCATTTAAATACAGTTTACGTATATGACAAATGTACCTAAAAAGTCAATATTTGTAGCTGCTAAAGCACGAATTAATTAAATTAAACGTGCAGCTCATTTTCAGTAAAAGATGCACTGTTTGCAGCTGTAGGAAAAAAATACTTGTCAATTCTACTTTTGAATGCGTTAATTGACGGAGCATTTTTGCATGACAACGGTAAATAATTCCAATCATTTACAATAGGATTTGTGAAGAAATTATGTCGAGCATTATTGTAAGTGAAATCACGCGTTAGTACGTTGGATGGTTATCTGCGAAGAAGTGGATTATGCCAAATAATAATTTCAAAAGCGTTTTCAAGTTTAAACTTTTTTTTTTTTTTTTTTTTTTTTTTTTTTTTAAGTTTACATTTGTTGTCGTAGTAAATAAATTACTTTCACAAAAAAAACAAGGTTTCTGAAAGAAGATCGTACTGATCTTATCATCAGAACCTTTTACAAACGTGTGTATATAAACTACATCAAAACATAATCAACAAATAAAACGTAATAAACAATAAAAGTTCTAAAGAAAATATAAAGTTAAAAAAATCTGACTACATCATCCATTAAGATAATTAAATTTTTCAGTTTAGGGGAGACCGGGGCTAGTTGGCTCGGTTTTTACTCTATGAGCTCTGTAGCCCTAATAGCACACTTTTTTGAAAATATTAAAGTGTAGTCTCAAAGCGTATGAACTTGGGTAACTTATAAAAGTTTCATGGATTTACAAAAAAAAATTCTTGGGGCCTTACGGGGCCCTCAAAAAAAAAAAAAAAATTGCGCCAACTTACCCCACCACGGGGTAAGTTGACGCAAACTATAAACGTGATTATTAATGTACTATTAAGTGCAAAATTAATAGAAATTTTTTACCTATTAATTTTGGCAACAATTTAAGCTAATAATTTGATATTATTTTTAGCTTGTGCTAAATATTAGTACGTATAACAGCCAAAACAGCAGCCCTCTTTTTACCTGTTACAAAAAACCTACAAAAAAAATTTTTATAATTTTTTTGTAAGAATAAGTTTTTTCAATATTGTTAAAAATTAAAAAAATTAAAAAAATTATTTTTATAAAAATAAATATTTTTCTCCATAGTAAATGCTATGAGCCAACTTACCCTGTAAAAATTTTGTCAACTTACCCCGAAGGCTTTTTTTTCAATAAACAGTCTATAGATCCTGAAAAACGGCAACTTTTAAAAAAAGTCAAACTGAATATAGTAAACCAATTGTGGCTAGAACTTTTACAATAATTTTTTTTCCATTTGACTAACTATTTTCTTTGTAAAGTAAAAAGGAAGCGATGTTTCAAAAGTTACGTTTTTGTCCAAAAAACACTTAAATCTTAATATCTCCCATGCGCATGCGCGAATCCTGACAATACTACATTGAATGATGAAACAGTCAATTAGGAAGATTCTGTGTAATTTTTATCACTTTCTGATGAAAGGCTTTAAAGATAAACGCAATTCGTCAACTTACCCCTGCGGCCAACTAGCCCCGGTCTCCCCTATATTTAAAAATGGGAAAAGTAAAATGCATGTTAAAATTGGACAAAACAATTTTATTCCAAAGATAAGGTGCACGATATGCAATGCAAAACTGATTAAAACTGGTTCGACAAAAGGGCTCATATATAAAATTATTGTTTCTAAGTGTATATTTATTTATTGGCTTCAAACAAAAGAGATCTTTGAAAATGGGTAAAGATATGTCATTTTTCCACATATACATAAAGCACAAAACATTAAAAACATTAAGCTCATAAATATTGAGAACTTTCATTTCAATAAAAAAGGGTTTGGAGTGAGTGTATCGATCCGCAAAATTTATTAAACGGATCGCATGTTTCTGACGGCGATAAAGGCATTTTAACTTACTTTTTTCAGTGCTTCCCCATGCAACATTAGCATAATTTAAATAACTATGAATTAATGAGTAGTAAAGTTGAGTTAGACTTTTTTTACATAAATATGTTCTGGTTTTATATAGAATACCAATATTTTTAGAAATTTTTGTACCAATATGCTTTTTCCATGTTATGTTTTCATCAAGAAAAACACCTAGAAATTTTGTTACATTATGTCTTTTTATTTCAACATCATCAATAAAAATTTTAGGCAAACTTTGGGGTAAATAAGCTTTTTTAGAGACTGGGTGGAAAAGAACCCAATTTGTTTTTTTAATATTAAGAGTTAGTTTGTTGCATTTAAACCA